ATAACTGATTATTTCTGCTATTATTGTTACCCATTGGAGCCTCTAGGGAAAAAAGAGGCAGTTGAGAAAGAGAGGCAGTCTCCAGATAGAGATATGCTTCCAGAATTGTTCAAAGAAGGTTTTAGGTGGCTAATGAGCTCTGGTGGGATTACATGTCTGATCCTTAGGAGCAGATCATCCAACCTGATGTGGGTCAGTTTGGACTCCAAGTCTGACACAGCAGAACAGGCTTCAGAAAGCCTTGCTTGTCACTCGGAATACGGCCGTCACTCCTGCCGCATCTAAGCTTTGGTGCTGCTGAAGAAAGGCCACTGGCTGTTTTGGAATCCTGAATTCACAGACCCCAACTGCCTGGAACTGACTCTAAGCTAAAACCTGACACTATCTACCACAAGCTGTTTCAACCTCAGCACAAGCTGTGATGAACTGGAAGTGTAAGCAGACAGGAAGGGTTTCCAGGGATTATAGGAATTTAATCAACAGAGCAATCAGCCTTTTACAGCCTACCGTCCTGCAGCCTGTTTCTTCCTAAACCTTGCATGGAATGCAGTCATGTGGTTAGTTAAAACCAGCTCCTAACAGATCCCAGCAACTTACAGATGAACCTGAGTGAACTTTCCTCATTACCATGCTAAAGTCTCCACCCCGAGGAGCTACAGCTTCATTACCATAACAAGCAACCCATGTGTTGGCATGATGACTCACTGCATCTATGCAACTGCGACCCCCTCCTCTGTATGTGCCAATGAACCCTCTCCCCTCTCCATCACCCATAAAACCCTCTAAGGGAGGAGACCACCCCTCATATTGTCTTATGCCCAATGTCTGCCTCCAAAGAAAGAAGAAATAAAAACTAAAAGGCAGAAATGAAATCCACAGGCAGACAGCCTGGCACCGCACCCTGGGCCTGGTGGTTAAAGATCGACCGCTGACCTAATCGGTTATGTTATCTATAGATTACAGACATTGTATAGAAATGCACTGTGAAAATCCCTATCTTGTTTTGTTCCGGTCTAATTATTGGTGCTTGCAGCCCCCAGTCACATACCCCCTGCTCGCTCAATCAATCACAACCCTCTCACATGCACCCCCTTAGAGTTGTGAGCCCTTAAAAGGGACAGGAATTGCTCACTCGGGGAGCTCGGCTATTGAGACAGAAGTCTTGCCGATGCCCCCGGCCGAATAAACCCCTTCCTTCTTTATTTCAGTGTCTGAGGAGTTTTGTCTGTGACTCGTCCTGCGACACCTCCTGTCACTTTTCCTAGGGAAGACTACTTTGGAGAATCCTCCCAGTGTCCTCCTTACTTGTGCCAAGTAATAAAACTCCTATTGATCAACACCTGTGTTCTCATGAAAAGTTGTTTGTTACCAGATGAATGATCCCCAGTTTTTTTCGAGTAACAGAAGCAGGCATGTATAGTTTCTTCTGATAGCAACCAAATACATGTCATTTGTCCACATCAATCAGTCCTGCAATTCTCCAACACTGACTGCGTGTTCAACAATCCAACTCAATCCCCATGCTAACTATCCAGAATTAGGCTCAGCCTCCACAGGTACCGGCTCCAGGCTCAGCAACAAATGGAGTTCCTTGGCTACTCACATTTCTACGTGGCTGACAACAAACGGTGTAGACCCCCTGAAGCACCTTTAAATTTGATAATTCCCTAGAACAACTTCCAAAATTTAGAAAACTGCTTTACCTATGATTGTCAGTTTATTATAAAGGATACAACTCAGGAACGGCAACATGGAAGAAACTAATAAGAAACTAATATGGGGGGCAATGATTGTGCAGGGCTTCCATTGTTAAAGAAAAAATTATCTAATGATATAAGCTTGATATCCACTGCACTGGGATTTTGCAGCAGGAGAGAGAGAGATGAGGCTTAAACTTGAACACAGCACGGGCAAGTGGGAATTTATAGGCAAGGAGAAGCATACAGGTCAGTGGATGGAAAATTATGAAGAGGAAACCTCAGGGGCAAGAGGGATTCTGGTTAAACCACACTAACAGGATTTTTGCTGAAGACAGGCTAGGGTGATCAAACATCACCCGGAGAACAGTGAGGATGAACCCGGTCAGATATCGAGGGTGGGAAGTTCCTGCTAAACTGACTTGACAGGATCCTTTGCTAAAATTAGATTTTACAAGGAAGTACCGATGTGCCTAGGAAGAGGTTTGGGAACCTGACTAAAACGTGGTCGCTCAGAGAATCTTTGCCCCCATGACCTCTCCAGCCAGGCCAGTCTCCCACCACATCTGTGTTCACCTGCCCCAAAGCTCTCCCAACCCCATCATGTAGGGGTTTCTATGGAGGCTTCATGATGTAGACATTATTGATTAAATAATGGTGATCAGTCTCCATCCTGAAGTTATCCAGCTCCCCCTTCTTAACAAAGAGCCCCCTCTTTAGCATAAACTCAGGTTTATTTGACAGAGACTCCTTTTGAATAACAAGACATCCTATCACTCAGGAAATTCCAAGGGTCTTAGGACCTCTGTGTCTGGAACTGGAGTCAAAGATCAAAAATACATATTTTTATTATGCCACATAAGTCATAAATAAACTTTTATTATGCTACAAGGCATACATTTATTTAAAAATAAAATTTTTTATTATGCCACAAGGCAAAAGCCCAGACTCTGGGATTGTTGAATCCAGACTCTTGTTGGGCCCCTCCCCGCCTGAAAGAGTTTTGTGATCCTAAATATTTCAAAATAGAGTCACTTATGACAAGTGACTCAGCCTACAGTGAAACTGCTGAACCCTCAAAATGATAAACACAGGTATGATGGACTGAGGTAATAAGGTAATATCTGTGTGGCCAGACACCCCCAAGACCTGACAAGAAACTGAAACCAAAAGGTGGCTGACAAATGACCATGGACACTCCTGCAGAGGTCCATAAAACAGCAAAGAAACTGACCATGGCAAGGCACCTGCAGAAGCTCTGCCCAAGAAAGCTCTGAGGCCTCCTCATGATATCCACAGTGGTCCCTGGAGGCTCTGCTCAAGAACAGCAACTTCGGCCGGGCGCAGTGGCTCACGTCTGTAATCCCAGCACTTTGGGAGGCCGAGGCGGGTGGATCACGAGGTCAGGAGTTCGAGACCATCCTGGCTAACATGGTGAAACCCCGTCTCTACTAAAATTACAAAAAAAAAAAATTAGCCGGGCGTGGTGGCGTGCGCCTGTAGTCCCAGCTACTTGGGAAGCTGAGGCAGGAGAATGGCGTGAACCCGGGAGGCGGAGCGGAGCTTGCAGTGAGCCGAGATTGTGCCACTGCACTCCAGCCTGGGCGACAGAGCGAGACTCCATCTCAAAAAAAAAAAAAAAAAAAAAAAGAACAGCAACTTCGCTCAGCAGTGTTTTGAGGGAAATCCAGAGGCGTGCTAACCTAAACAACAGAAATGGGGTTTTTCTGTTCTGCTTTGCTTTGAGACAGGGTCGCACTCCAGTTGCCCAGGCTAGACTGCATTAGAGCAATCTCAGCTCACTGCAGCCCAACTTCCCGGGCTCAGGCGATCCTCTCATCTCAGCCTCCCAAGTAGCTGAGAGTACAGGCACGTGCCACCATGCCCGACTGATTTTTTTTTTTCTATATTTTTAGTAGAGACGGGTCTCGCCATGTTGGCCAGGCTGGTCTTGAACTCCCGGGTTCAAGTGATCCACCTATCTAGTCCTCTGGTTGGGTGTGAAAATATGGCCCAGTTCTGGCCAGTGGAGAAGGGAACGGGTCATCTGGGGGACTACTCCCTGAAAAAAAAGACTAATGATGAGAATCACCTTTCCCTCCATCTTTTGGGCATAGTCAGGTGAAAATGGGTCACTCAAGGCTGCTACAGGCATGGGAGTCCCTGCAGGGCAACAGTGCAGACCCAGGACCAGTGCAATGGAGACAGCCTGCAGAGTCCTTGGTGACCTTGGTGAGTCACTAGATCCAACCTGAGTCACCCACTTCCTGCCTTTCTGTTACCGAGACAATGGGTGTCCAGGCTGTTGAAGCCCCTTTGAGTTTAGTTCTGCTTCTTGCACCCAAATGCATTTTAATGGGGCTATGAGCTCCTGGGCTCCACATGGTCTAAGGTAGCCCTCACCTCCAGGGCATCCCCATGGCATGAAGCACCCCCTCTGGCCTTTCCCCAAGACTTCTCCCAAGACTTCTGGTCCAATATTTTCTGGGTGCGTTACAAGACAATGTCCTATAGGGTGCACTGGGGATTGACATCTCCCTGCCTCCAAATGCCTCCCCTTCCTGGAGTAGGAAGAGCTGCCCAGGATTCTTGTTAGAAGAGACCTTTATTTTGGCTCACACCTGTAATCTCAGCACTTTGGGAGACCGATGGGGGCCAGATCACAAGGTCAAGAGATTGAGACCATCCTGGCCAACATGGTGAAACCCCGTCCCTACTAAAAATGGAAAAATTAGCTGGGGATGGTGGCGGGTGCCTGGAATCCCAGCTATCCAGGAGGCTGAGGCAGGAGAATCACTTGAAACCAGGAGGCAGAGGTTGCAATGAGCCGAGATCGCACCATTGCACTCCAGCCTGGGCGACAAGAGCAAAACTCTGTCTCAAAAAAACAAACAAACAAACAAAAAAAAACGAAGAGACCTTTATTTCTCAAGGAGGGGCAGAAATTCAGGGCTCCCCTTCGACTCTGGCTGCTCCCAAAGTGGCTTTAAAGCACCAATGGGCCGGGCGCGGTGGCTCAAGCCTGTAATCCCAGCACTTTGGGAGGCCGAGACGGGCGGATCACGAGGTCAGGAGATCAAGACCATCCTGGCTAACACAGTGAAACCCCGTCTCTACTAAAAAATACAAAAAACTAGCCGGGCGAGGTGGCGGGCGCCTGTAGTCCCAGCTACTCAGGAGGCTGAGGCAGGAGAATGGCGTAAATCCGGGAGGCGGAGCTTGCAGTGAGCTGAGATCCGGCCACTGCACTCCAGCCTGGGTCACAGAGCGAGACTCCGCCTCAAAAAACAAACACAAACAAACAAAAAAGCACCAATGAGTCCATGACTTGTGTAAGAAATGATTAGTCCTTTCATCTAGAGAAATAGCTCCCTTTTCAACAGTTGTCTCTCTTAAACAGTATTTAGTATTTGAATGAGGTTGAAACAGTGTCAAAAGGAAAGTAAAAGTGAAATTCTGTCTTTCAGCATAAAAGCTGATCCACAAACAGCGGAGCACCAGACCTCACCTTGGCTTGGAGATGGCTTCGGTAAGTTTCTCGGGACTTTGCATTACTGACTCTACAGCAGTTAGGCAGCTCCGTCCAGGAAAGGCCTCAGTCCGGGCTCCTGGCCTTGGGCACACAGCTCCAGAGCTCGTCTTTAGAAGGCTGTCATGGAAAACTGTATTTGTCTTTTAAAAGTGCATCTGCCTGGCTGGACAGGGCGTCCTCTGGGCAGAATCCACCTCCTCTGTGTACCTGGCATAGTGCGGGGAGCCCAGGACTCCCACTTATTAGAGGGTTGTGGGGTGCCGGATGTCAAGTCTACCTCAGCCAGAGGAGAAGCCAAAGTGTGGGCAGGTGGGGGACTCTGGGTTGTGGGAAGCTAGCAAATCCCAACATCATCTGCTTCTGCCGCGACGGGGGCTTAGTCCCTTCTCAACCCCAAACGATGCTTTCTCTCTCCTCATTCCTCTGTGGCATCATCTGGCCTTATAAGGTGCATTCTAATCTCAGCAGCGTTCTGAATACTGAAATTTCTCCTCCTATCAGCCCAGATGTACCGACTGGCAGAAGCTCTAGGGAGAGCAGGCTGAGCTCAGTGGTGTGCAACTGAAAAGGAACAGCAGGGCTCAGGCTATTACTAGAAACAAAACCATTCCAGGAAAGAGTCCTGCAAATTCTAGAAGGCAGCCCACCCAGCAGCACCACGTGATTCTGGGGAAGGCCTTTATTGCGCCACAACACAAACCGGCTTTTCAAAGAGAGCCATTTCCTTATTTAGGCCAAAGGTCATGTTTCACGGCCACCAGCTGAGACTGTGGTTTTAGACATTCAGCAGTACCATTAAAAGCCCCTCTCTCTCCCCACATGGAGACCATCTCTGGCTCCTGCGGTGCCCTGAGGCACAGAGGAGGAACTGGGCAGGAGTCCTGGCCCTGCTCCTTTCCCCTCCCTCTTCCTTATCTATTTCCTTTGTCCCATTCTATGCCAGGCCCTTCACTGGATCCTGGAGGTGCAGGGAGGGAGGGAGGGAGAGAGGGAGGAGCACACAGGATCCTGCCTGCCTGGAGCTCACAGCCCAGAGGGGCACAGGCAGGCACAGGGAGTTGCAGCTCGACCTGACCACTGCAGGGAGCAGCAGAGGCCCCCAGGGACCCAGAGCCTGGGAGTGGGGTGGCGGGTCAGCTGAGCCAGGCTGGGACCATCAGGGCAGCCTCTCAGGTGAGGGAGGGGAAGAGGAAGAGTGGCTGCAGGGAAGTGACAGAGGCAGGGAAACCCAGATGTGCAGAGTAGCAGAGGCTAGAGCCAGCCAGGGCTGTAGTGAAGGGCTGGAATGTCACTCAGTGGGCCTATGGGTGCAGAGCCCAGAGAGGGAGAGGAGGGTGAGGAAGGGCCAGTCAGGAAGGGCCTGGGAGCTGCCCACGGGGTGTGTCCTGGGCCCTGAGGTCAGAGGAAGGTCATGGCCAGATGTGCCCTTGGGAAGGCCGCCATGGGTTCTGAGGGGTTGGATACGGAGTGGCAGGGACGGGCGGCGGGGGCTGGTCAGGGGGCTGTGGGGGTCACAGAGGCAGACATGGGGCTGCCTGAACCAAGTCTGTGAATGGGATATTGACAAGGACACCAACCAGGAGAAGCTTCTGGAGTCCACACTGATTGGTTTTAGTGACTGGATATTGGCGTGAGGAAGAGGGCAAAGGAGAGCAGACCCCAGGTCTAGGATGGGACTTCCTGGGGTGAGGGAGACGGAGGCTGTCACCCACTGAGGACAGGCATAGAGAGGGCAAAAATGGAAAAAACCTTCAATGATGAGGCTGCTATGCCCTGGGGCAGGACATGGAGAAGTGGGAAAGAGGTGAGGAAGGGCAAGAAGGTGGGCGAGACAGGAACCAGCATGAGGGGTGTGCAGGGAAGACCCAGCTTGGCCTCCTTCCAGCTGAGTGTTCTCAGGCAAGCCTCTCCACCTCTCTGATCCTCAGTTTCCCCACCTGTGTCATGGGATGATCATGCCTTCCCCTGGGGCTGTGGAGAGGGTGCAGTTATTGTAGGACAAGTTCCCACAGAGGCCTGTTCTGTGGGTGCAGAGCTCCCTCACTGCTGGGAGCTGGGGGGCCCGTAAGACCCCAGTCAGGCCCCAGCAGGATGCTGTGAGCTCCTGTCTCCCAGGGCATCATCTCCAAGAGATAGGTGTCCTGAGGCTGGATGGGGTAGGGTCTGAGGAGGAGGTGGCTCTTGGGGCCATGGAGAGGCACAGGGAAGGAGGAGTGATGAGGAACTGAGGGTCAGTCTGCAGAGGGTGGAAAGCTCAAGACTCACCTTCCCAGCCTTGCTCCTGGCCTCAGTGAAGGTGCTGGTCCATGCGGGCTCTTGAGTCGGGCTGCTGAGGGGCGCATGTACAATGCGCCCATGCACATACATCTGCATCCTCAGCATGCACACACACAGCACACACGCGCCACACACACGCCCAGACGGTCCTCTCTCCCATCCCACAAGATAATTCTCCAGACTTCCAGCCCCCGGTGCCCCCACTGAGGAGAGCCTCTAAAAGTGACAGCAGGGCTAGGGATCTCATGGGGGCTAGAAGCTGATGAACATCAGCAAGGCGTCTCCAGGATGAGCTGCAGCTCCCCAAACCAGGGTCTCTGTTCTTGCCTAGAACGCCGTGTACTCCATCTCTGGCTTTTCTGTTGCAGCCACAGCAGGAGCCCAAACCGGGAGACCTGATTGAGATTTTCCGCCTTGGCTATGAGCACTGGGCCCTGTATATAGGAGATGGCTACGTGATCCATCTGGCTCCTCAAGGTAAGGACTGATGAATATATAATTTTCAAAATATTTGTTAAAAGGATGACGAGAGGGCCGGGTGCAGTGGCTCATGCCTGTAATCCCAGCACTTTGGGAGGTTGAAGTGGGTTGATCGCCTGAGGTCAGGAGTTCGAGACCAGCCTGACCAACATGGAGAAATCCCCATCTCTACTAAAAATACAAAATTAGCCAGGTGTGGTGGCACATGCCTCTAATCCCAGCTACTCAGAAGGCTGAGGCAGGAGAATCACTCGATCCTGGGAGGCGGAGGTTGCAGTGAGCTGAGATCGTGCCATTGCACTCTAGCCTGGGCAACAAGAGCAAAACTCCATCTCAAAAAATTAAAATAATAATAACAACAAGATAATGAGAGCCACTGAAAGACAGTTAAGAAAGGGAAACTTGCCGGGCCCGGTGGCTCATGCCTGTAATCCCAGCACTTTGGGAGGCTGAGGCGGGTGGATCACAAGGTCAGGAGATCGAGACCATCCTGGCCTACACGGTGAAACCCTGTCTCTACTAAAAATACAAAAAATTAGCCGGGCACGGAGGCAGGCGCCTGTGGTCCCAGCTACTTGGGAGGCTGAGGCAGGAGAATGGCGTCGGCCCGGGAGGCGGAGCTTGCAGTGAGCCGAGATCGCACCACTGCACTCCAGCCTGGGCGACAGAGCGAGACTCCGTCTCAAAAAAAAAAAAAAAAAAAAAGGGAAACTTGGGTTAGGAGACACATTCTTCTTCAAGGATGCCCGATGAGATTGTACACACATATGTCCCAGGGAGTAGACACAGTGCGTTCCATAGGTTCTGGCAGAATAGAAGAGACAATTGCCTCCCGCAGCAAAGCTGGGCTGCTTCAGCATTGGGATCTCTCTAGCTCAAAGTCAGTTAACTTAGCATGCAGAATCTCATACGACTTGAACCAGCCAGGTTTCTTAGGTCTTAAAGAAGAAAGTTTCTCAAAAGGAACAATATTTCTCCGTGCTAGATCCTTTGCCTCATATGTTTTCACAGAACCAGGTGTCTTGATATTACGTACTTAATTGCTCCTTAATGGGCGCATTTCTCACCGGTTTATACATTTTTTAAAAATTCTCATACAAATGCACAGTAAGCAATACCAATGATTTATTTAACTCATTAATAACAGAAGCAGCAAGATGACATAGCCAGTTAAAAGCAGAATGAAGGAAACATATGTATGGATAGTCAATGAAAGGGGAAAAAACGAATGCAGAGGACAGGCACAGTGGCTCACTCCTATAATCCCAGCACTTTGGGAGGCCAAGGTGGGCGGATCACTTGAGGTCAGGAGTTCAAGACCAGCCTGGCCAACATGGTGAAATCCCATCTCTACTAAAAATACAAAAATTAGCTGGGGGTGGTGGCGGGCATCTGTAATCCCAGCTACTCAGGAGGCTGCGGCAGGAGAATTGCTTGAACCCAGGAGATGGAGGTTGCAGTGAGCCGAGATCCTGAGACGGTGCCACTGCACTCCAGCCTAGGTGACAGAGCAAGACATTGTCTCAAAAAACAATAACAACAAAAATGCAGAAATGAGACAATGAGACTGCCAAATTAGGTAGGTGCAGGCAAGTTCATATTCTCTAAGGCAATGCCACTACATAACTCTTGATGTTCTCTTTTCACTAAGCATTTACACTGTCACTGGACAAAAACCATTCCCATCACTATCAGAGCAAGACATTTGCATCTTATCAGTTTTCTCCAACCCATCATCTCCCAGGCAGGGTTGTAAAAATGTCTGAATTGAGGAAAATAGTGAATCAAGCCCACTTAATCCAGATGACCTTCAGGGACCTTGTAAGACAAAGCATGGCAATGAAGACACATGGTCCTTTTTGTGCCTAACCTGCAGGATGTAAAGAGGCTTTTTTTTTTTTTTTTTTTTTTTTTTGAGGCACAGTCTTGCTTTGTCACCAGGATGGAGTGCAGTGGCACAATCTCAGCTCACTGCAACCTCCACCTCCCAGGTTCAAGTGATTCCCCTGCCTCAGCCTCCCGAATAGCTGGGACTACAGGCACACGCCACCACACCCAGTTAATTTTTTGTATTTTAGTAGAGATGGGTTTCACCATGTTGGCCAGGATAGTCTCGATCTCCTGACCTCGTGATCCGCCTGCCTCGGCCTCCCACAGAGCTGGGATTACAAGCATGAGCTAACACACTCAGCCGTAAACAGGCTTTTTTAAGACAATTTTTCTTTCTTTCTTTCTTTCTTTTTTTTTCCTCTGAGACAGGGTCTTACTCTGTCTCCCAGGCTGGTGTGCAGTGATGTGATTATGGCTCACTGCAGCCTTGACCTCCCCGAGCTCAGGCCAGGTGATCCTCCCACATCAGCCTTCTGAATAGCTGAGACGACAGGCATGCGCCACCATGCGCAGCTAATTTTTGTGTTTTTTGTAGGGAAAACACAACAGGTCTCACCATGTTGTCCAGGCTGGTGTCGAACTCCTGAGCTCAAGTGGTCCACCTGTTTAGGCCTCCCAAAGTGCTGGGATTACAGGCATGAGCCACTGTGCCCAGCCAACAGGATTTTCTTAAGTGGGTTCTAAGTGCAAACATCAGCCTTGAGATTAGAAACGGGGCAAGAGAGGTAACACACCTAATTATTGTGTGCATTAGGTACTATCCATTTTAATAAAAATAACACCTGGAGTCACTATATAATGCAACTGGGGTTCCATTGGTTGACAGCTCTTCTGTCTACCTCTCTATGTGCCTAGAACTGTGTCAGATTGTAGGACAGAAGACACTTTACAAAGGATTCCCTCAACATCAGCCCAGTGCAGTGGAAGGAACCTGCCCTTTGGGGCTTAAGAGAAGCAGTTTCACATCCTGATTCTAGGACTTTTCATAGCACGGAAAAGTCTCATGATATCTCTCTCAGCCCGATACTGGTTTTTAAATTGAGATGATAGTATTTTCCTTGAAAGTTAAAAAGGAAATTAAATTAGGAAGTATGTGTAACAGCACAGCATGGTAACTGAAACAGTGGGTACTAAACGAAGTGGATCTTTTTCCAAAACACGAGTGTACAAAGCTGAACAGGTAATAAATATGCTTTACCATCATTGCTTATAATGATGAAAATTTTTCCAATACCTAAATGACTGATAACAGGGGATTGGCCACAGAAGTGATGCACATGCATAGCATGGAATATGGTAGCAGCCACTGGCAATCATGACATTCACTGACTTGAACAAACATTCACACCTTATTTGATTAAAAAAGAGAGAGCAAAATCTATTAGCTGGGCGTGGTGGCCGGCGCCTGTAGTCCCACTACTCGGGAGGCTGAGGCAGGAGAATGGCGTGAACCCGGGAGGCGGAGCTTGCAGTGAGCTGAGACTGCGCCACTGCACTCCAGCCTGGGCGACAGCGAGACTCCGTCTCAAAAAAAAAAAAAAAAAGCCAAATCTGTGAATCCTCCAGTCACATTTGTGAAAGGATAAACAGCAGTAGTTCCCTAGTGGAGATTTCAAGCCCTTCTCTCCCTACTTCACCTTCCCCTGCCAGTGAGAATGCCTCTGATTGCAGATGGGTACCCCGCGGCTAGCTCCCCCAGTGCCTTCTCAGTCCCGGGCAGCATTGCAGTGGTGAAACAGGACCTCCTGAAAGATGTGCTGGAAGGCTGTAACTATCGGGTCAACAACCGCTTGGACCGTAGGTACAAACCACTGCCCGTGGGGGTGATCATCAGTTCTGCCAAGGAGTTGGTTGGTCAGAAGATGAAGTACAGTATTGTGAGCAGGAACTGTGAGCACTTTGTCACCAAGCTGAGATATGGCAGGTCCCACTGTCAACAGGTAAGGACCTCTCTGGATAATCCATCTCCCCTGGGGAGGTCTGCCTGGGGCTGGACTCACTGGGCTATGCAACCAGGCGATCACCGTGAATGATGCAAACGCAGCCTCTTGGAGACCCACTGACTGAGAGTCAGGACCTCTGAGCTCCAATGCCAGATCTGCTTCTAATCCACAGAGGGTCTTTGGACGGGTCCCTTCCCCTCCAGGCCTCTCCATGTGCAGAGTGGGTGGATGGAGGACCTCTGAGGATCCTTCCCCTCTAAACCCTATCCTGAAAATGACTCCTGAAGTTCTGGGGGTCATCAGGAGAATCTGGGCCAACCCAGGACTGTGACAGGTCCCGCAACCCCCCAAAGAGCACTTAGGCAAGGGACGCTCAGGGTCCATGGACCTGTGTAAGAGCTCAAGGACATTTGTGTGTAAGATCTGCAGCCTCCATCCCTTGCCTCTTCATAGTCTTTCACATTTGTTGCCCCAAAACACACAACTAATAAGTGGCAGAACCAGGATTGAAACCCCAGCTGTCCTTTCTAGAGTCTCTGCCTGTGATGCCTACCGTGCAGCAGCTCAGGGCCCCTGGCCTGCGGGACTGAATGGATGCGCGTCCCTGATGAGATGGGGATGATGGCAGGAGGAGAGGCTTTGGGGAGGGAAATCGAGAGTTTGGCGTGGCATGTGATGTCTGAGGTGCCCATTAGAGGCCCAGGTGGAGACAAGGCATGGAGTTGGAGTTTAGGCTGAAGTAGAGCTGGAGATGGAAGTTTCCAGGCTGCAGTTGGGAATAGTACACAGTGACCCCAGGGCACGCATATGGCCATGGCCTCCCTAAGTCTCCCCTCAGCTTCTACCACAGCCCTTCCTGTGCAACGGTGTAGCTCAAGGAGGACTCAGACTGCAAAACAGTCCCCAGTCTGGCCCCTGGAGCTCTGGCCCTAGGAAGTGAGGCACAAGCCTTCTTCCTCGCCGCAAATCCGAACAAATGTCCTCACCTGGAAGCTCTCTCAAAAGGATCTCATGGGCACATTCTAAGGACAAGCCCAGATAAACCCAACACCAAGAAGTGGTCACAGCCCAGAAAATGGAGTCCCTGGGGATACAGCCAACGGCTTCTCTGGGAGAGGATTCTGAGCCAGTCAGCTGGGAGAGAAGAGAGGAGATGCCAGGCCGTAGGGGAGGCAGGAGAGAGGGGAGAGGGGGAGGAGTTCCAGGCCCTTGGGAGGGAGAAAGTGCCAGCCTGGCTTGCTGCGAACGCTCAACAAAAGCTGCTTGCTTTGCAGGTGGGAAATGCCGCGGCTGAAGTCGGTGCGGTCGCGATGATTGCAGCGGCTGTTGCTGGATGCTCTTTGGCAATTGTGAAATACCAAAAGTGACAGCCTGAAGCAGCCACAAAATCCTGTATTAGAAGCAGATGTGGGGGTCCCAGTGGAGATGTGGGGGTCCCAGGCCTCCCCCACACCTCCAGCAGCCTGACCCTCGTGCTCTGTCTCAGGCTGTCTCTAGATCCTTTCCTCTGTTTCCTTCTCTCGCTGGTGAAAGTATGATCTAATTGAAACAAGATTGAAGGATCAATAAACAGCCATCTGCCCCTTCAGAAAGGAATTCTACCATGTTTTTATAGACTTCTGAATCACAAAGGAGGAAAGTAACATTGAGTGAACACCCACTGGATAGTTCCAGCGATTTCCAGCTGGGTGACTTTGCAGAAAGCTGTTGATTCTCTGAAACTCAGTTCTTCCATGTCAGGTGATGTCAGGAGGATCACCTAAGATAATGCATACATAACACCCAGCCCCATGTCTGGTACGTAACAGATGTTCAGTGAATTGTCTTCATCATTCTACACAGACATAACATTGACGTAATTGCATGTCATTAATTTTACTCTCAGGGAGATAAAAAAAAAAAAACTTAATTACCTCCCGGTATAGTCTCATGTGGTGCTTAAATCCACTCACAACACCTACGCATCTACCAGCATCTTCCCAGTTCCCTTCCTCAACTGGCCCTCTTTTTAGAAAGTTTTTTGTTTATTTTTTTTAGATCAAAGGTCTGAGTTCTCATCCACCTGTGACTACTAGATGGAGTAATATTCTTTCCAGGCCCAAATTGCCATGGCTCAAGCTGGTCCTGGGTGGAATGCTGAGAATGAGCTACTTCTAAATCTCCCTCCACTACTTCCAGCATGCCCTGGGTGTGGCTCCGGAAGTGCCCAGCTCCCCCATGTTTCTGTGCTTCCTCACTCCAGCCTCTACCACCAGTGACCCTACTCAGTGGCCACTTCCATGGTGGTCACTGCAGCCACCACCACTCTGCCTTCAGGACTGAGGACATCACCCTCCCCTGGGTTGTACTTTTTCATGCGTGAGCGAGCTGGTTGGTCCCTTAATTCACCAACACAGTGGAGACCAGGCTGTAATGATTAACGAGACTCCCCTGGAAGCTCAGGGCTATTGGAAGGTTGAAGAACAAAGAGAATAACTTATCATTGCTACAATTAGAGGGGGCTCGGCTTAGATTCCTGGCTGAAATACCAGGCTCCATTTGGGGATTGCAGAAGCATCCATGCCTGCCTTGCTCCAGGGCTACCTCCACATCAGAGGGCTCAGCTGCTCTACCCAGAGTCCAGGTCTAAAAACCAGAAGGCACAGCAAGAGAAGAAGCCTTTCTCACTTCTTGTGATCTAAGGCTCACCTCCCCAGATTTCATTGCCTGTCCAGGATCAATTGTTCCAGTGTGCTGGACAATGGGAACATCCAGGCCCTTCCAAGGTGTGCTTGACCTCCATGACTAGGTCAGATCCCCATTAGGAGTCTCAGATGTCCATGTGTCTGCACTTCATGTGATTCTCACAGTTGCAGTGAACACTGATCCATGTGGTTATTTTACTAATGTGCCTTTCCCTGCCAGTATTTTTGGAACAGTCCAAGTTTGGTACCACTGGGACCCCAGCATCAAGTACAATGCTTAACTCTCTATAACCACTTGATAGACGATGGATTACAAGCCAAGCACAGTAGCATGCACCTGTAATCCCAGCTACTTGGGAGGCTGTGGCAGGATTACTTGAGCCCAGGAGTTCGAGATCAGCTTGGGCAACATAGTGAAACCCCATCTCTCAAAAAGGAAAAAAAGATAGTGGTTTATTTAATTAACAAATTTATTAACTAATATGTAGGAAAACAGGGCCGGGCACAGGGGCACACACCTGTAATCCCAGTATTTTGGGAGCCCAAAGGAGGATCTCTTGAGCCCAGGAGTTCAAGACCAGCCTAGGCAACATAGTAAGACCCTGTCTCTACAAAAAAATAAAAATTAAAAATAAAAAAAGATTAGCCAGGTGTGGTGGTGCATGACAGAGCAGGAGCATCGCCATCTTGGACAAACATCAACATTCTATGTTCCCGTTAATTAAAAAACTGCCTAAATCCAGCCCCAGAACATCATCTCCAGGACATCAGGACATTTCCCTATGCTGGGAAACCAACTCCCAGGATAACCAGGAACATTTCAACCCTAAGATAAAACTCTTTCCAACGAGAAACATGCCAACCCCAAGATAGGCTCCCCTCTGACCAGAGACATTCTAACCCTACAGTAAACTTTCCCTCACATAGAAACATTCCAAACCTACAATGATCTTCCCACTTCCTAAACTCTTAAATATCCTTAGTCCGTTAGAACACTCATGACCAAAATCAACCAGAAGCTCCTCTCAGGTTTATTCTCTAAATAAACCTGTCTTTGACGGTTGAGCCCCTTTTTGTGTTTCTTTCCTCTTTCTTTAACACTTATAGTGTGTGCCTATAGTCCCAGCTACTCACGAGGCTGAGGCGGGAGGATCATTTGAGCCCAGGAGTTCAAGTCTGCAGTGAGCTATGATCAAAAAAAGTACAAGTAAAAAATAAAAATATAAAACATGACCACTCTTCTCAAAAAAATAAAAATAAAAAACATGACCACTCTTCTCAAAAAAATGTTATGGCCACCAAAGGTTAATGCACACCAGGATTGTGTTGCTGTGAAGTTGAGAAATACACTGAACCAGTTCCAGACCTCTCTGGACTGACTTCCACGAACTAGATTTCACTAAATGTGGAATATATATATATATATACACACACACACACACACACTCTCATACATAATACATATTTTATATATATTACACATATATATGCAACAAAAGCATATTTCATTTTTTCATAAGTTCATTAAATGGTTGTACCACCTCTGGACAGTCCTTGGTCTCAGCAAATCTTTTTGCTAAGATTAAAAGTAGCTGAAGGCCAGGTGCAGTGGCTCACACTTGCAATATCAGCACTTTGGGAGGCCAAGGCGGGTGGATCACCTGAGGTCAGGAGTTCGAGACCACCCTGACCAACGTGGCAAAACCCCATCTCTACTAAAAACACAAAAATTAGCCAGGCATGGTGGCAGGTGCCTGTAGTCCCAGCTACTCAGGAGGTTGAGACACAAGAATTACTTGTACCCAGTGACGGAGGTTGCAGTGAGCCAAGATCGCACCACGGCACTCCAGCCTGGACAACAGAGAGAGACCCTGTCTCAAAAAATAAATAAATAAATAAAAGTGGCTGAAGAGAGCATGCATATATTCCTTCCACAAGCTGTTTTTCAGCTCAATAAATTTTTAAGAAACTGATTGGTGCTGGAGAAACAGGAATCCTGGGCTGTGTGTGGTAGGACTGGATTGTCCTTTGTTGTTTGTGTCACTCTCGAAGACAGCATCCCTCTCCCCACCCAGGAGTGACAGGACAGCTGGCAGGACACAGAGAGGCCCTAGTGCTGCCCTCCTGCCTCATGGACAATGAAATGTTTTGCTTATGTGCATCCACCAGAAAGTGCACTGAAGGTGGTTGGGATCTGAGACAACCAGGACATGCAAGGAGCAGGGGAGCTCCCAGTGCTGCCTGCCCTATTATCCTCTTTCATGGGTGGCTTAAAGTCTCATTTTGGGGTAAGAGAAACTAATTTAAGACATGAGTAGGGAGGGTCTTAGTTCCTGCAAAGATCTCCTCAAACCATCAGGAAGTCCCATGGTTGGACCTGGCCCCTCCTGCAGAGCCCTGACCCTTGGCACTGAAGACATAGGAGAAGAAGGAAGCCGTCATGAAAGTGCAATGTGGAAGGACAAGGACCAGGGATAGGGCCCTGGGCTCTGGCTCCTGCTCATCAAAGGAAGGGATATTAAACACAGCTTCTCCTGCCATCTCTGTTTTGGCCAACGTGCCCAAATTGACCACAACAGCTGTTCTGTGTTTACACACTCTGAAGTCAAAATCACTAGCCACATCCTCAGGCTACGTGCTCTCTATAGTTCCCGGGAGGTGAGCAGTTTTAATACGGTGTGGACAGAAAGGGAAACTAGACTCAGAGTCTAAGCCAGTGACCCAAGGTCACACAGTCACTAAGCGAAGGTTCTGGATTCCCTTTAAGTCAATTTGACCCAAAAGTCAGTTCTTTGGGCCAGGCCACTGGAATGTTCTCTGATGAGACTTGCATGGGCAGTCTCACCCGCTGCCTTGCTTGATGTCCCAGGATAGCTCCTGCAGATTTCGCAGGCTGCAGATTTCTGCCCACTGCAGATTTCGCAGGCTCAGGCCTTGGAGCAGCATCACTCAGTGCAAGCTTGAAGCTGTGGGCAGAAAGGTCAGGAGCTGCTCAGCCCCCCATTCTCTCACTTCCTGTGAAGAAATTGGTGCAACCAAAGATGGCGGATGCACCCCAGAAGCATCCTCCAGGGGGAGACCTGTGCTTCCCTGGGGCGGTGGAGGGAGGGAGGGAGTAAGTGTTCAGGGCAGCCATTTGTCAGGGTGACAGTTATGCTGAGAGCACCTGGAGAATCTTCCTGGCTTGCAGTCACCTTCTCACTAGGTCCTCACGTGGTGGAGAGAGCACGAGCTCTGGTCTCTTCCTTTTCTTTTCTTTTTTTTTTTTTCCTGAGATAGAGTCTCATTCTGTCACCCAGGCTGGAGTACAATGGCATGATCCTGGCTCACTGCAACCTCTGCCTCCCGGGTTAAAGCAATTCTCATACCTTAGCCTCCCGAGTAGCTGGGATTACTGGCACCTGCCTCCACGCCTGGCTGATTTTTGTATTTTTAGTAGAGATGGGGTTTCACTAGGTTGCCCAGGCTGGTCTTGAACTCCTGACCTCCGGTGATCCTCCCGCCTTGGCCTCCCAAAGTTCTGGGATTACAGGCATGAGCCACCGTGCCCGGTCTGGACCCTTCCTTTTCACATAAGAACACTAATTCCATCCTAGAGGCTCTACCCTCACAACCTAATTACCTCCCAGTGACCCCACCTCCAATACCATCCCACAGGTGGGTTAGAGTTCAACATATGAATCTGGGGTGTGAGAGGAACACAAGCATTCAGTCCATAGCAGAGCCCAATTATGTCTTTAATAGAATTCATACTAAGCTGCATTTCCAAATAAATTTTCCTATGCTTTTAACTCCATTAAAATAAAGATGCATGAACACAAAACAGTAAAATCAGTAAGCCAGACTCCACTCCTGCTGGCTAAATAATATTCCTCCATAAGAATTGGTGGTTGTTGGGACAATTTCTT